AAAGGCAGCCCTTTCTCCTGCCAGCACAGACACAGGGAGGGCCCCAGGACCGCTCCGGGAGGTGAGCGTGGCAGGAGGAAGCCAACCATCGCCCACGGACCATGCACTTGTCAGTATAGGCCCGACCTGAAATGCAAACTAATTCTCAGTGACCTCACGCCCTGCACCTGCCCCGACCCGGTGGCTCTGGTGTAACTACTGCTGCTGCCACGAAGCCCCAACCGGAACTCCTCCTGGCCAGGAGAGCCTATGGCCGAGTCCCAGGCGCGCGCCCGCGATGATGGTGAAGCTGGTGTGTGAACATGAGCAGGAAACACCCCGGAATGCATGAAGCTCACAGGGCACACGCCAGGCCTTCCCTCACCCCCACAGATGATGAGGGCCAACCTCCTACCTTTCCTGCAGCCCTGTCCACGCAGGTGAGTGCGGACGGGCAGAACAGGCTTTTCTCACCCGGAGCCTCCCTGGGGTAGCCTGCCTCTGCAGCCCCGCTCTCTGGTCATGGGTGGGGGAGCCTGCTCCAGCTTCACTGGCCAGCAGGCCCAGCTGCCTGAGAACTTAGAAACAGCATCTTCTCGCTCCCCCTTATAGGGTTTCTTCACATTAAACTCTGCCCCATCTCCAGAAGGAGGAGCCATCTGCTGTTCACACCCCGGCAAGCTGGACCAGACATGGCCATGGGCTGGGGACTTGCTGGGGACCTGGGGGAGCCGTCCACCCTTCCACAGGCTGGCCTGCCTGGCCCAGGGACTCTGGCACAGACCAGGTCCTCATCTGAGCTGCCAACAAGGCACAGCCCCTTCTTTTCTCCGCTGCCCGGGGAGGCACCAGCAGCAGGGGGAGCCTTCCCAAGACGTGGCCACCGGACAATCCCAGCCCGAGGGTGGCTCTGCCCATCGCTCCACGGGCTGGGCTGGCAGTGCCTCTCAGCAGGGACGCAGGGAAGGTCCAGGCTTAGGTGAGCTGAGCCCCCGCCCCAAGGTCCTGGCCGGCCTTGTCCCGGGTGGAAATCAGCCCGGTACCCATGAAGCGCCAGCAGAGGCTGAGAGTTCTGTGAACACACAGGCAAGAGCTGAGATGCTGTGAGAGGCGGCTCTGGGGCTGGGGTCAGCAGGGGACCTTTCCCGAGAACCATGACACTGAGCTCCGTGGAGGGAGGAGACTGTCCCCGGTTTGTCCAGACCTCTCAGGAGGCGCCTTGGAGAGCCCAGATTGGGCAGGTGGCTGCGTGGGGCAGGTCACCCCGGGGCACATGAAGCCCACAGCGGGCCAGTCTGTGGGCCACTCAGACACCTTGGAAGGAGCCAGTCGCCTCTCGCTCACGAGCTCACTCCCAACCTTTTCTGACTGCTGGGTCCACATGTCCGCTGCCTCCTTCCTTCCCCGTCCTGACCCGTCCTGAGAGGACACTCCGGCCCCACCCTCCCCGGACACCCCCCTGCTTTCCAGAGCTCCATCCATCCACCCGCCAGGCCCCCTGGCAGCCCACGTGAGGCCCCCGACCCACAGCCACTGAGAGGGCCCCGCTTCCCGCTGGCACCCGCTCACCCCGTGACTTTGGTGGCCAGGGACGGCTGTGGTGCTGTCCCCCTCACGGGGTTTCCTGGACACCAGATTCAAGCAGGGGAAGAGTCTGCTTTTTCTGTGCACACGCTGCTTACAGGTTTCCCTGCTCTAAGGAGAAAATCTGGCTACTTCCCCAGCTATTTTCTGCCATGAGTGGATGAAACTGCAAACAGGATCCAGGGTTTGTAGGGTTTGAATCCTCCGACGACACCCACAGGGCGGTCGGTAATCTCTCCAGCACCGAGCAAGGTTCCTATTCCTGCTGACACCTCCAGACAGTCGTGCGAGAAGTCACTGCGCTGGGTTTGGCAGGTGTGGCTCCCCTGACACGCAATCGCACCTCTTCTCTTGGCCTCGCCACGTGAGCCTGAAAATGCCAGGCCACGCAGGACCCAGCCCACTGCTTGGAAAGCCAGCGTTCAACCAGGGAAGCGCTGAGGCACCGGTGGGCATGGCCATCTGCCAGGGTAGGGGTCTCCCTTCCCCCGGAGCCTGGTGCCCAGCGGCAGTGACCAGACCGTGTGGGTGCTTGGCAGGTGCACCAGCCGCTCGGGCCACGCTGGGGTGCCCAGCCTCCTCTCTAGCAGGAAGAGGGGTTCAGATGGTCTCAATGGGGGTGCACAGTTCTCCCCAACAAGATGAGGAACTCCATTTACTGCCGGAGGGATGCTGCGGTGACGGGGAGAGGGGGCTGCCTCTACACACAGTCCTGACACACTGCTCTGCTTGCCAGCTGCCAGCTCACCCACTGGTGAGGCGTGGCACCCCCAGCTGGGTGACTGGGCCCCACTCCCCCCTGCCTAGAGGACAGGCAGGCAGGCCATCCAGGACACTACCCACTGTGCTGGCAGAACCGCTTCCCCACACCTTGTCAAAGCCGGTCTAACCCGGTCTCAGCAGCCCAAACCCTTCTGCTGCCATTCCCATAGCGAAGCACGCCCACCCTCTCCATTCCCCTACGTTTAACTGGGAGACGCTGGGGGCTGAGCAGAGCTACGGCAGGACCCGGGGGGTCCCTGTGGTGCCATGCAGCTCCAGGGGAAACCCACGAGGCATTCCTCTTGTGTGGTAAGCAGAGAGCACCCTGAAGGCCGGGGACACCCTGTCACTGGCCAGGGACACCACCTCCCCACCCCTCCCCACCCTCCCGGTGCAGCCTGGGCTCACAGTACAGGAAGGAGATGGTCAGAAGGAGATGGAGGAGTTTACCTGCCACAGAAAGCTCAGGCCAAGTCCTAATTTCTTCTCCCGATTTATTCTAGTCCCTAAAAAAAAATACCTAAAGTGTTTGCTTTTGTCCAAAGAGAGTAAGTACCCTAGAATTTCTTCAGGGTAATATGTAGCTATAGTTTTCCTCTAACTCCTTGCTCCCTTTCTAAAACCTCTAACAACTCATGTGACTGTTATTGGAGCAATCGCCAGGCCGTCGTTATTGAAATCAGAGTTTAAAAAGGATGGGGCTTCTCTGGCAATCGGGAAGGATGTGAAGTGGAGCAGCCACTTGGGGGGAGGGGGGATTTTAACCTGAAGAAACTGTTGCGTTTTCTGGTTACTTATAGCTGCCCACATGGCCACAGCATATAAACTCACATTATAAATGTGTCTTCTTTTCCTTTGGGGGAATTTTACAGGATAAAAAAAGGCTCGGGTGGGGCCCTTAAATAAATTAGCTGTATCTAAATCGTTCATATCTCTCTCCCTCCCTCTCTCCCTCTCTCTCCCCTCCTCCCCCCATAAGAATGTAATCACTAAGAGGGAAAATGTGTATTGTTCCTGGGCCTCGGCACCCAAGACAAGCAGGGTGGAATGCATCCTCTCAGGGACCCTGACGACGAACACCCAGCACCGCCTTACACAGGAGGAGTTTCACGGGAGCCCTCCGAGCCCCAGACAGGTGGACCCCGACTTACATCTCTCCCCTCCGCCGACCACTTACACAGGCCACAGAGGACTCCCGGGCGGGACTGAAACTGCGCAGGCTGCCGCGTTTGAGCTGCCCTTTTCCGTGGACAGGCATTCTACCATCTACAAAACGCTTCATGGCAAAGCCAGGGCCTGGTGGATAGACTTCCCTCTCTGCTCCCCCTGCCCAGGCCGGACCCTCCCGGAGAAGCCAGAGCAGCCAGCCGCCTGCAAACGCCCCAGGACAGAGCCAGGCCTGCGTGGCCCTTCCTCCCGCTCCGAACCCCCCCCCCCCCCCCCCCCCCGGTCCCCGGGAGCTGGATGCTCACAAAAGCACTCTGGTGTGGCTTCACTTCCCGTTAGGATCACGCTGCCCAAAACGACAGCAACAGCCCAGTGGCAGCGCGTGAGACACAGACCGGATAGCTAAGCACAGGCACTTGTCGCCCACTCTGAGGACGCGCCTGCCCCGGAGTCCTCTGCAGGAGCCAGCCAGGCAGCCCTGCCTCTCCCAAGCCCTGGCGCCTCCCCGCAGATTCCTAGGAAAACCAACCTCCCGGCAGGTTTCTAGGAAAAGCCGTGGCTTCCTCCCGCCCCCATCCCGACACCACACTGGCCTCCCCCTGAGACCTGCACCGCCCCCCCCCCTCCCCAGTCACGGCTGCCACCCCTGGCTGCCTGGCTCTGGAGCTGCAGAGTCACCTCGCCCTTTCATGTCAGATCAGACTGGCGGTTGAAAACCTCTCCCCTAAGTCACTCCCCCTCCCAAAGAAGAATATATTTTCCGCTTTCTAGATCACTCCCAACAGGAACTGGTTTTTAAAGAGAGAGAGGGGGTGGGGATGGGCGCTGGCCTCGGCAGAGATCTAGGAAGATCCACCGTGCGCTCTGACAAACGCTCCCTGTCAAAACGGAGCGGGGACACCTTCCACCTTAAAAGTCAAAGAAAAGTGACAAGGTCTTTGCAGCCGCTCCTTCCCAGCATGGCTGGCCCCGCCCGGTGTGCCCCAAACCTTCAGAAACGACCCTGCCTGCCGGTCCCGGGCCCAACACCCCTGCACTCAGCCACCCAGTCAGAAACAAAGAGGGGTGAGATCACACTGAAGCAGGTACCCCTTCAGCTCACCCATTCTGGAGCCGGCAGTTCCCTAGCCTGTTCCTACCTGGCGTCGTGTCTGTTATCTGAGCGTGAACACACACACACACCCTCCCCAGAGGAGGCTATGGGTGCCTCGGTGACCCGTTTGCCTCCGAGAGCGCATGGCTGTGCCATCCCCAGCGCTTGGCCATCCGCCCAGGGCCTGCGGTGCAGTCACGGTCAGCGGGGTGGTGCGTAAACGAGCTGTGGGCGTGAGTGTGAACCCGCGCGTTCTCTCCTCCGTGCGGGCGGGCGCGCGCGGGGTCAGAGTCCGACCGGCCGGCCGACCGACGGGCACCCGCCTTGGGCGCCAGGCCCAGCCCTCAGCTGCTCCTCCGCAGGGGGTCCTCGGCGGCGGCGGCGCGGCTGTCCCCTCCCCGCCCCGGCCCGCCCGCTACCTGCAGCCGCACGCCTCCACCACCATGTCCTCGTACTGCTTGTAGACCACGTTGTTGGCGGCGTCGATGTAGAGGATGCTGATGGGGCTGAGGCGCGCGGGCACGCAGCAGGAGGCGGGCGCCGCGTCGGGCGCCATGGAGTTGAGCAGCGTCTGGATGATGGCGTGGTTGGTGGGCTCGAGATGCGAGCGCAGCGGGAAGTCGCACACGCCCTCGCAGTGGTACGCCTGGTAGTCCAGCGGCGCGATGATCCAGTCGTCCCAGCCCAGCTCCTTGAAGTCCACGTGCAGCGGCTTGCGGCTGCAGCGGGTCCGGCTCCGGCGCCCGTGGCCGTGGCCGCGGCCCGCGCCCCCGCCGCCGCCTCCGCCGCCGCCACCGCCGCCGCCACCGCCCTGCGCGGCCCGGGCCCCGGCCAGCGCGGTCCGCCGCCGCCTGCGGCCGCCCAGGACGGCGCTCAGCGCCCCGGGGGCGCCGGGGCCGGGCTCGGGCGGCTGTCCCGCGGCCCCGAGGGTGCGGGCCTGGGCGCGGATGTCCCGGAACAGGCTCTCCTTCCGGTGCGCGCGGGAGGAGACCACCAGCAGCGCGCGCTCCTCCGCCGCCGCCGCCGCGCCGCCGCCGCCGAAGCCCAGGCGCCCGAGCGCCAGCGGCCCCCGCGCCGGGCCCGCCGCCCAGGCGCGCAGCAGCAGGCACAGCGCGCGGGGGGCGCGCGGCTCGCGGCGGTGGCTGCCCACGGCGGCCGCCACGTCGAACACCTCCCAGCGCTGCCCGCGCACGGGCTCGGCGGCCCGGGACAGCAGCGGGCGCGGCGCGTTCGCGGCGGCGGGGCAGGTGGACAGCTGCAGCAGCGGCGGCGGCTCCGGGGGCGCCTCCGGGGGCCCGCGGCCCGGCTCCCCCGAGGGCCCGCGGCGCAGCACGCGCAGCTCCGCGCCCACCACCTCGTCGGCGTCGGGAAGGCCGGACAGGTCGAACAGGAACCTCTGGCCCGTCTCGGAGGCCGATTCGTCTGCGGAGACACAGAGAGAAGGAGCCGAGAGTGAACCGAGTGCGCACTGCTGGCCGGGGGCCTCCTGACGGCAAATGGCCCCACGAAGATGCAGGAGGGAGGCCCGCCCGCCCCCGCGTCTCGGCCTTGGCCTTGGCCCGCAGCTGCCCGCCGGGTCCAGGGGAAAGGAAGCCCCGGCTTCCATGGGCCAAATGCCCCTCCACCGCAACAACCCACTCGCATCCACTTGTGTGTATACACACAGACACACACACATGTATGCATACATATATACATAATTGATTATTTATATATAATTGATTTTTTACAGAGAGAGAGAGGGATAGACAGAATCATTGATGAGTGAAAGAATCATCGATCAGCCACCTCCTGCACCCTCCCCCCCCCCCACACACACACACACACTGGGGATGTGCCCGCAACCACGGTACATGCCCTTGTCCGGAATCGATCCCGGGACCTTTCAGTCCGCAGGCCTACGGTCTATCCACTGAACCAAACCGGTTTCGGCAGCATCCACTTACTGTTAAGCTGAGCGGCCAGGAGCGCACCCCTCTCTCCCTCCCTCCCTGGTCCCCGCAGCCTGGACCAAGACTACAGTACCGCCGCCTGCCCGAGCCACGGGTTTGCGGGGACGATTCGGAGGCCAGAGTTTCCCGGCTGCTGGCGGACAGAAGGCCCGGAGGACGCATCCGAAGCCGTGCGCCCCTCCCGAGGCTCGGAGACTACCTGCCCGGGGTCCCCAGCGATGCGGGGGCCGCTCCTTTTTGCTTTGAGCACCTACAGGAGCCGCGGCATCCGGGCGGAACGGAACGGAAAATTCTTGTCCCCGAACACTGCTCCTTCGCCCCCTCAGCTCCCTCCCAGGCAGATTCGTTCAGAGGGGATGTGTCAGCAGGGCTGGCTCTGGAGACCCTCCAGGGTGCCCAGCGATGGGGCAGGAAGCTTCGCCAAGGAAAACAGACCCGGCCCGGCCCGAAGTCTCAGAGCCAGGAGGGCTGCGGGCCGCGATGCGGAGCTCCACGCTCAGCTTCTCCCAGCGGCTCCTCCACCCGATGGCGGGGAAAGGCGCAAAGGAGCGCCAGGGGCCTTGTCAGAAGGGTTTGGCCACCCTGAGGGCAGTGGGCTGGCCACAGGAGGTCTCTCTCCCCCAGGACCCCATCCCTTCGCTGGCTCCCTCTTTCTCTCTGCTATGGCTTATCTTGGGCCTCCGAATTGTATTTCTGGTCACAGTCACTCTTTTCTTTGGGGGCTCAGGGGGGAAAAAAAGTTGAAATTCCACCAAGCAGCAGATAAGGAGCTCCCTTTGAAGAGGGGCATCTGGTTTCGTTTTGCCCCAAAGACCGTGGGGACCCCCCCAAAGCAGGGGAGAGTGCTGCTCACCAACCACCTTCACCGGGCCCTTGGCTCCTGAGGTCTGAGGTGTGGGCGCTGCCAGGGGCCTCCTGGGGCCTCTAGGAGCCCAGCTCCAAGGAGAAGCTCAGGATAGAGAGGGAGGCGGGAGAGTCAATGAGCAAATACTATGCCCAACACACACACACACACACATACACGCACACGCACACGCGCACACAGGGCATGCTTTCTCCCAGGGGCTGGCTCTGGAGCACTCTCTGACCTTGCCCTGCAGCCGCTCCCTGCTTCAAGGTGCTGCCACTGCAGCCCCTCCCTCCCTCCAGAAGGAAGGACAGGCGACCTTACCTGCCTGAACAGCCCAGCTGGCGCCCAGGAAAGAATTTCGCTGAGGCGGAGGCAGAGGCAGAGGCTGAGGCAGGCTGAACAACCAACAAAAGAGCATCTGGTGATTCTGCACAGCCCAGCTCTCCCTCACTTGGCAGCCCCCACAGCAGCCTTAGGGCCAGGGCGTCCCTGGGCCTGTATGCCAGGACCCAGCCTTCCTAACGGTCCCCCCAGACTGCAGGGCACTGGGCCCAGGATGTCCCCGCACCCAGAGTAAAGCAGTCCGTGTGCGTGTGCGTGTGCGTGTGCGTGTGCGTGTGCGTGTGTGTGTGTGTGTGTGTGCGCGTGTGTGTTGGGCGGGGTGGGTGACTTGGTCGTTACTTAAACTTTCCAGCCCCATTTGCCTCCCCTTCTTCTCCTGCCTTTTATGCTGGGTCTCTGGCTGTTTAGCATTAAGGCTGAAATTACTTAAATCTCCCCTATCTATCTGCTTTAATGGCATCAATAGAGATTAATAAAATCCAGATGACACAGCAATCACCACGGCCTCACCCAGTCCTACCTTCGGAGGGCCAGGGGAGGGCGGGGGGGAAGGAGGGAAGAAGATGGGGTACTTGGTCCCGCAGAGGCCTGCCTTCCTGCCCCATCGCAGGGCCCTTCTGAGTCCTGGACCACCACGGGAACCCACATCCGGACACACCTGCACCCGGACGCAGCAGAGACGGGCCGCTGGTGGTCCAGGACTCAAAAGGGCCCAGCGATGGGGCAGGAAGGCAGGCCTCTGCAGGACCAAGTACCCCATCTTCTTCCCTCTGGGTACCTGATGAGGCCGCTGCCAGCCTCTCAAGGGACATTTGCTTTGGTCTGATGCCTGCCCCTCTCTCTCACATGCCTCTGAGTTACCCCCGATTTGTACAGCCCCCAAGAGACTGGGAGCTGCCTCCTAGGGTGCTGCTGACGCAGAAGCGGCCACCGCCATTGCCTCTCTGCAGTCCCTCTCGGCCAGACCCCCTCCTCTGGCTTCTCCGGGTCTCCAGCTCAGCCTGCCTGCCTCCTCCAGGGGGGCGCAGGCCGCCGGGCCAGGGTAGCCCCATAGAGGGATGGAGCCAAACCCTCTGGGACCGGACCGGGAACTCCTCGCCACCATCCAGGCGCCGCAGGCTGGGGACGGAGCAGGGGCCAAGGCGAAGCTCCTTCCTAGCACCTGAGGCCGGGGCAGGGGCCCGGCGCCGGCGGTGATCTCCGCCGGGACGGGACGGGGCAGACGGGACGAGATGGACGGAACGGACGGGCGCGGCGGAGGCGCGAGTACCTTGGGTCGCCTGGTCCGCGAAGCCGGTGATGGTGTCTGCGCGGCCGTGGCGGCCGGAGCCCGGGGAGGAGGCGGCGCTGGCGGCGGCCCCGGCCGGAGCCCTCCCGGCCAGGCTCCGGTACAGCGACAGCATGAACTGGTGCGGCACCACCGAGCCGTTCCTGAAGCCGGAGCCGGAGCCGGGGGCGCGGCGCGGGGCGCGGGGCCCGGGGGGAGCCGCGGCGGCGGCCGGGGCGGCGGCGGCGCTGGGGGTGCGCCCGCCGCCCCCCGGGCCCTCGGCCGGCCCGGCCCCCGCCGCCCGCAGCACCGCGGCGGCCTCCAGCCCGTGGCGGGGGCGGCAGGCGCTCAGCAGCCAGAGGCACAGCGCGGCGGCCGCGCCCAGGTCCATGGGCTCCGAGCGCCGGGCGGCCGGGCGGGCGGCGCGGGCTCCGTGCTCCGGGCAGTCCCCCGGCGCCCTGTGCACATAGTGTTTAATAACGGGGAAGCGTGCGCGCCCGCAGCGCCCCCTCCCTCCACCCCCCACCGCGCCCGCCCGCGCCCGGAGCAGCGCCCCCTGCCGAACGCTCCGGCCGCAGCGCCGCGCCCCGATCCCGCCCGCCCGCCCGACGCGGAGTCCCGGCAGGAGCCTCCCGCCGCGACCCCACCCACCCCGCCCCGGGGCGCGGCGTCCCCACTCCGGACCCGCCCGCCGGGGGTGCCGGCCACGGGCTCCCGCACGGACCCAGGCCCCGCCTCCCGGCCCCGCGGCCCCGGGACGCCGTTCCCCTCCGCCGGCGCCGCACCCGAGCCAGGCGCGCCCGCCATCCGGGGTGCGGGTCTCCGGGGGACCTCGCGCTCCCGCCACCCACCCGGCGGCCTCCCTCGCCCCGCGGAGAAGCGCCCGCTCCGCCGGAGGGGGAAGGGGGTGGATCGGCCCTGCCCGCCCGTTGGTGCGGAGAGCCCGCGGCCCGGGCGCGCAGGGCGACCCCCAAGGCGCGTTTTTGACCATCAGTCCGTTTGACCATCAGACCCCCTGCCAGGGCCCCCGAGGGTCGGAGCCGGCGGCGGCGCAGGGAAGGGGCCCGTGAGGAGGAGAGCGAGCAGCTGGACGGGCTGGGAAGACAGAAGGATGAGGACGGACGCTCGGGGAGCCAAGGTTTGCGCGCGGAGCTCAGATCTCCAAAGAGCGCGGGGAGGAAGGAGGCAGCGCCACGGGGTGACGGGGTGACGCGGAGACTCCCGCGCCGGAGTGGGGCCCCAAGTTCTCTGTGCGCCCCAAGTTCTCCGCGTGGGCCGTGGTGCCCTTCTGCCGGGCCTCTAGGGGTCTGGCTAACGGAAACGGGCCGCCGGGCATATTGGGGTGCAGCCAGGAGCCTGGTGGGCGGCTAAGACCCTCCAGGGGGGAGGGTGCCTCTGCACTTCTCTCACCCCCGCCCCCCTCCCCGCAGCGGTGGTCGCTCGCTGGGAGCCCGGGTTGCTGGAGGGGGCGCCTGGCGGCGGTGGCTCCCCGGAACGCACTCTCGCCAGCGGCAGGGGAGGTTCCTGAGCCAAGTCTCAGGGGCAGGGGCAGGGGCAGGGGAGGGTGGTGTAGGCGGGTGGGGCTCAGGTCCACCCGCAGCCGGAACTCCCCTGAGTGCCAGAGGGACCCCCAGCGGGATGAAGAGCCGTGGTTAGGGCAGAGCCCGAGGACTCCCGGAGCAGGGCAGGTGCGTGCTTTTCCTTGAAAACGGCATTTGCTGCCGAACTGGAGATCCAGACCGGAGGGGGATGGGCACCGGGGGGAGGGCATCACGTCACCTGGAGTGGGTGATCAGCGGCCACGTGACATCTCAGGACCCAAAGCCCCGGAGGTGCAGGTGCGGTGCACTCTGACCCCGGTCCCTTGCATCAGCTGCTCCCTCCCAAGCGAACTCCAGGCCGGTCCAGGCCACCGAGGAGACAAGGCCACTGGGAAACGGGGGGCGCAGGAGGGGCAGGAGAGGCCTGGTCAGGGGTCCCTCCTCCCAGACCCCGAGCCCATCAGAAGGGCGGAGAGAAAGGCGGGGTGAGATTGGGTTGGGAAGGTCTGGGCGGCCAGGTGGTGTGGCACTGAGATGGCCAAGGCTGCCCAGGGAGCAGGCAACCAGGCAAAGCCACAGGTGTCGCTGGTATAGTCACCAGCCACTGGTCAGGCTCATCAAGGCTCAAGTGGGGCTTCCTCTTGGGGCCGGCAGGGGCCTTGGGTGGGGGGCCAGGCAGGAGAGAGACCTGGATGTTGTGCTCCGCGTGCTGCTAAGCGCTCTTTGAAGGGAAATTCCTCTGGCCTCTGTGTTAACCCCGGCAGTCACTGGGCAGCTGTTGAGGAGCCAAGAAGCATGTGCAAGAAGTTTCCAGAAGGCTGAGAGCAAGCTGGCACCCGAGTTCTAACTTCATCCTACCCCAACCTCCAGAATCCCAGACTCCTGCTGGCTGTCTCAGCGAGAGGAGGTGAGTTTAGCTCCAAAGGGGAAGAGGGGGAAAGCCACAGGGGATGGGGAGTGGGCTTGGGGGGTGGGGGGTGGTTCTTGACTGAGGTGGGGCGGGCTGGCCCTCAGATCCTTACCTCGGAGAACACTTTTGCTGCTCATCCCTCCCCTGGGGAAGCTGTTCGTTTTCTCCAAGGACTTGGCCTCTGATTCAGGACACAGAAGTCCAGGATCTGGAAGAAACTTGGGGGTTGTCTAAGCCCCGTGGTTGGCAAACTGCGGCTCGCGAGCCACATGAGGCTCTTTTGCCCCTTGAGTGTGGCTCTTCCACAAAATAACCACGGCCTGGGCAAGTCTGTGTTGAAGAAGTGGCGTTAGAAGAAGTTTAAGTTTAAAAAATGTGGCTCTCCAAAGAAATGTCCATCGTTGTCCTGTTGATAGTTGGCTCCGTTGACTAATGAGTTTGCCGAGCACCGGTCTAGGCCAACCTCCATGCCGTGCCTGAATCCTAACAAACTGCGACCCGGGCAGCGTTTGTGGGGACAGGGCGCTCCCCGCCCCAGACAGCCTTCCCATAGCTCCAAATGTGACCATATCCGGTCTTGCCAGACCCAGGAGAGCCATGACATCTCCAAGGCGACCCTGCAGGGGGACTTCACGTGGCACCTGGGAACCCCCGCCTAGAACACGAGTTCCTGCCACTGAGGAAGTTCGTCTCGGATTCTGCCGGCTGGTCACCTTGTGGTGACCTTCAGGCGCCAGAACGTGGGTCAGCTGCAGGGACAGTCCACTCAGCTTCCAGCCTCATCCCAACCCCAGTCCCTCATGTCTGATACAGGGGCACAAGGACGTCCCTGGGAGAGGCCTGCATGGTTCTAAGGAAGCCATGTCCCCACAGTGGGCATCACAGCCCCCAGGGATGGCAGGTCCCCTCTGTGTGCCTGTTCCTTTGCCCTTCAGGCCGCACAGGAGGTCTCACCCAGCTCTGCCCCGGGCGCCACGTAGATAAGGCGTAATGAGGCCTCAGCCTCTGCCTTGTTCACTTTTTTTCAGGAGATAGAACAGGTGCCCCTGGCTACTGGTTGATGCCCCTGAGAGTCAAGAGACCAGAATTCGCCCAGTCAGTGTGGCTCAGTGGTTGGGCGTTGACCTATGAACCAGGAAGTCTCGGTTCAATTTCCAGCCAGGGCTGGGTTGCAGCCAGTGTGGGGGGTGCAGGAGGCAGCCAATCAATGATTCTCTCTCATCATTGATGTTTCCATCTCTGTCTCCCTCTCCCTTTCTCTCTGACAACAATGCAAATATATATATATATATATATATATATATATATATATATTTTTTTTTTTTTTTTTAAGAGTCCAGAATTCAAATCCTGCCTCTAACCTCAGGCTGCAAGTCCCCCAGCCCTTCCTGGCGTTAGATCCTCAAATGCACAGTGAGGCTGACAATCAAATGCCCACTGAGGGCTCACCTGGGAGAGGTGGAGGGCCTGTGGGCATGGGGCCGCTGCCAGGCACCCAGCCTGGACCCACCATGGCCCCTGGCCTTGGTGACTCAGAGCGGGAGAGAGGGTTAGGCTGGAGGATGGTGTCGCCGGGAGGGCAGTGGGGAGGGAAGAAGGGGTGTTACCTGCAGAGGCAGCCTCCTGCTGGCCCTCACTGCACCTGGCGGTACTGATCCCCAAATGCCTCCCCCAGAGAGGCCTGGATGGGCTGCCTGGGCCACAGGTGCGGGAGGATTCCCACAGCGCTCCGGCTGGACTTCCTGTCTGATGCTCAGGCTGGGTTTCCCTGGCCTCTGAGGAATTTCCCAGGGCGGCTCTGCTCCAGGTTACCCCCGGCAACAGCTCTGGCATCCACACCCAGTGGGCTGCAGCCAGGCTCCCGGCCACTGGCTTGACCTGCCCTTGGGCTCTGGGCCTTTGCATGGGGGAGGGGAGGAGAGGGGAGCAGGGTGGGTTCTTTCCCAGAGGATCCACAGGGGCCCTCTCTGAGCCCTGTGCTTGGGACACACGCAGAGGGCTGGCGGACACTGCCACCTGCTGGTCACCGGTAACGTGTGCTACCACTACTCCCAGCTTCTGCTCTGCATCTGAATGGGGAGGGCCGAGGGTCTGGTGCTTCCTGTGGCCCTGCTTCCAGACTCAGCTTTTCTGTCCCTGAGCCACTCCGCCGGCCGGTGTCAGGGTCGCTGCTCCTCATCCGCGGTGAGGTGAGTCTATATGTGAGTCCATATGGGAGGATCTGTTATACGCGCCTGGACCTCTAAACCCTGTTCCAGGGGCAGCCCCACAGGCAGCCATCAGAGGCATGTCGGGCACAAAGAGTGCGCAGACAGAGGGAGGGAGGGAGGGAGGCAGAGCCTGGCAGAAGGGGCAGGGAAGGGATCTGCAGGCAGCAGGTCCACGGGCACCCTGAGAGCCAGGGCGGGAGAGTCCTCTCCCTCAGACGCCCCAGAGCCTCCATGGGGCCTGGCGCAGAGGCCCAGCTCTGCAGGTATGATTGAATGTGTGGATGCATGAATGAGCCAGGAGAGAGCCCTAGCCGGTGTGGCTCAGTGGATAGAGCGTCGGCCTGCGGACTAAAGGGCCCCAGGTTTGATTCCGGTCAAGGGCACATGCCCGGGTTGTGGGCTCCATCCCCAGTGGGGGCAAACACACCGACTTAGTGTCACTTTGTGCCAGGCCCCGGGCGGAGTGCTTTATAGGTGGCTGCAAAGAAGTGGGAAGTTTGTGGATCTGAGTTCCAGGGCGGTGGGTGGTGGGGTGGGGAAGGGAGGGCTGGTTCTCTGGGGGAATACAGTTGAGCAGAAGCCCTCCCTACTCTTGCCAGAGTGTGGGGAGCCACTCAGGGCGGGGGTGTCCTTAGGAAGGCAGGACCAGAGCAGGAGGGTACCCGGAGAGAGGGGACTGCACACAGAGAGGGTGAGACGGTGAGAGGCTCAGGGAGAGGGAAGCTCTGGGTGATAGGCTGCTTGGCAAAGTTTAGACTCCTCTGAGCACTCTCCTGGACCTTGACCTCCCCACCCCCCACCCATCTCCACCCCCTCACTCCACCCCACCCCACCCCCCCTCCCCTGTCACACACACACTTTGTTCTGCCTGGGCCATTCTGCAGGAATGCTGCTGAGTCAGCTTAGGGAATCCCCCAGCCTGGATGTCTGACCAGCCGGGGGCTCTGACCAGGCTCCTCTCCCCCAGCTTTGACTGAGTGCTTGGCCTGCCTTCAGCGGGAGTCCTGCTAGGCTCCTTCAGCAACACTCCCCCTGCCCGCCCTGTCTCCTCCAGGAACTTCCCAGCCCTGTCCTCACCTGCTCCGCGGCTGTAAGTCCCCATGTGCCCCTGCAGTGTTCAGAGTTAGCCTCAGCTCTCTCCTAGTCTTGAATAAAGTCTTCCTCACATTTTTAACACATGGCAGAATAAGTTTTTTGTTTGTTTGTTTGTTTGTTTGTTTGTTTTTAGCAGGAGACAGATTTTTTAAAATATATTTTTTATTGATTTTTTTTTTTTTTTTTTTTTTTTTTTTTACATAGAGAAAGGGAGAGGGATAGAGAGCTAGAAACATCGATGAGAGAGAAACATCGATCAGCTGCCTCCTGTACACCCTGTACTGGGCATGTGCCCACAACCAAGGTACATGCCCTTCACCAGAATTGAACCTGGGGCCCTTCAGTCCGCAGGTCGACGCTCTGTCCACTGAGCCTAACCAGTTAGGGCTTTTCCTCAGTTTTTGTTAAGAACTCCCTGTTAGCCTCCTCCAGGAGAGCCACTGGGAGGAGAGGCCTCTGGAGTCAGGCTCCTGTTTTTTCAGCCGATACCCCCTTTTCTCCCCCCCACCCCCCCACCCACACAGGGGTCCAGTTTATCTTGTTTGCTGGGTTATATGTCCCCCATTTGACCCTCCTAGCATCTCTCTGAGCATCTCTAGGGACCTGAGCATGGTGGCATTGTTCCCCGACATTCTCCCCAAGGCAGGGAGACCAGACACTTTATCTTTGAACCAGGACATTCTGGGACCTCCTGTGAGTGACACCAGCAAACTAAGGGTCCTGTGGCTTTGATTAAGTTTAACTTTACACCCTAGCTCTAGAAATCACAGCTCTCTCTACATATCCCCTTCAGGGAGGTAGGCTTTCCCCTGGATGATCAGCAACCCCCAGGGAGCAGAGACAGTAGCCTGGATCTGACTCAGAACTGCAAGGTCCCAATATCTGACGAGCTAAAGATAACTTTTTTAAATTGTTTGATGTGTGAGAGAGAGAGAGAGAGAGAGAGAGAGAGATTGATTTGTTGTCCCACTTGTTCATATTCATGGGGGGTGCAGGGCAGGGTTATCAGAAAGCTCCAACAGCTGAAACCGGTTTGGCTCAGTGGATAGAGCGTCAGCCTGTGGACTGAAGGGTCCCAGGTTCGATTCCGGTCAAGGGCATGTACCTTGGTTGCGGGCACATTCCCAGTGGAGGTGTGCACGAGGCAGCTGATCGATGATTCTCTCTCATCGATGTTTCTGACTCTCTATCCCTCTCTCTTCCTCTTTGTAAAAAACTAATAAAACATATTCTAAAAGGAAGGAAGGAAGGAAGGAAGGAAGGAAGGAAGGAAGGAAGGAAGGAAGGAAGGAAGGAAGGAAGGAAGGAAGGAAGGAAGGAAGGAAGGAAGGAAGGAAGGAAGGAAGGAAGGAAGGAAGGAAGGAAGGAAGGAAGGAAGGAAGGAAGGAAGGAAGGAAGGAAGGAAGGAAGGAAGGAAGGAAGGAAGGAAGGAAGGAAGGAAGACAAAGTTCCATTCAGGAGCGTCGCCTGTGGGCCGGCGCAGTGGCCGCCAGGGGGCGGGCGAGGGCAGGAGCCGTGCGCGCGGGGCGGGGCCGCGGCGACGCCGGCGCCCGCAGGTCCCGTGACAGCGCCCGCCGCCCGCCGCCCGCCCGCCGCCGGCATGCAGCGCCCCCCGGCGCTCGTCACCTCCAGGTGAGCGGACCGCGCCCCGCACCGCCTGCTCCCCGTGGAGTCCGGGTGCGCCGGCGGGGCCGCGGCCCCGGGTGCCCGCCGCCCGCCCCTGCAGCGCCGCGGCCACCGCTCGGGGCTCGGCCCTCCGCCGCCTGCAGGAGGGGGCGGCGTCTGGGCCCCGCTTTACAGACGGAGAAACTGGAGGCCCCGAGGGTAGCGCTCACCCACGACCAGCTCTCCCGCGCATTTCGGTGCTGCACAGAAAGCTAGCCCTGCACCCCTGGGCTCGGCTGCTCCACACGGGCCGGGAACCGCAGGGCTGGTGCTGGGAGGGGCGGGAAGTCCGGGCCGCCCCGGGAACGCAGGGCAGGGTGTCCGGGCTTCTGGGAGCGGGTGAACGAGCCGCGCCCTGCAGGAAGGGGCGTTCCCCGGGGAAGGGAGAGGGGAAGGGGCAGCTGCCCAAGGAGGTAGCTCCGGAGAAGTGCAAGTTACAGCGGCGCCCCCCCCAACACCCCCAAACCCGCCCTGGTCCAGGCCTGGGGGTCCCAGGGCAGGACGGACCCCTGTGCTCTCTGCTCCTTCCTGCCTTCATCCTCTGGAAAGGGCCTCCCTCCCCGGGTCTCCCCGTCCTCCACCCCTGTGCCCCCTCCATGAGATCCTGGGCACAGACGGCAGCTTTATGACATACACGAGGGCTGTGGTCCCAGCTGGAACCGCCTTCCCCGGGACCCGGGCCTGGAAGGAGGATCCTGTAAGGAAGTGGGGATGGGAGAGGCTGCTCTGGTCTCCTCTGCAAACTACAGCGAGGGCGCAGGCCAGGGAGATCTCCCTGGTGCCGCCTACGTTACCTCTGCGCTGAGCCTCGGTTTCCCTTTCTGTAAGAACAGGGTGTGAGGTTGGCAGGCGGGCGCAGGGCCAGCTGCAGGCACCCTCGGCCCCTGGCAGATCCGCGGGGGCGTGGCTTTGACGCTGGGTGCACACAGCCCCACCCGCGAGGACCAGGGGCTGGAGGAGAAGGTGGGGTCTTCGGTGCCCCAGGCACCAGCAAATGCCAGGGGCCACCCGCAGGGGACATGCCGAGGAAGGCCCACCTCCCCCACCACCCCCAGGGCCCTCACACTTTCCTCCATCCAGCAGGACTTGACCGAGGCCTGCTCTGTGCTTGTGGAGGATGCTCAGCTGTCTGTGATTTTCTTTTCTTTTTTAAAATATATTTTATTGATTTTTTTTTTACAGAGAGAAAGAGAGAGGGATAGAGAGTTAGAAACATCGATGAGAGAAAATCATAAATCAGCCAAAACCGGTTTGGCTCCGTGGTAGACCGTCGGCCTGCGGACTGAAAGGTCCCGGGTGCGATTCCAGTCAAGGGCATGTACCTCTGTTGCGGGCACATCCCCGGTAGGGGGTGTGCAAGAGGCAGCTGGTCGATGTTTCTCTCTCATCGATGTTTCTATTAAATAGCTCTCTATCTCTCTCCCTTCCTCTCTGTAAAAAAAATCAATACAATATATATTTTTTAAAAAATCATCGATCAGCTGCCTCTTGCACACCCCCTACCGGGGATGTGCCCACAACCAAGATCCGTGCCCTTGACCGGAATCGAACCCGGGACCCTTCAGTCCGCAGGCCGAGGCTCTGTCCACTGAGCCACACCGGTTTCGGCTGTCGGTGATTCCCGCGAGCCCACGTCTGCTCTCACTTGTCTTCCTGCGGGCAACAGCCTTTGTCCCTGAACGACCCCACACCGGGGGCTCCGGCCTGGGGAGCTGGGCTTTCGGCGGGCCTGGCGCTGTGACGGCTGAGCCAGGCCAGGGCAGCAGCCCGCCCCAGCTCGCTGCCTCTCGCCGGGCCCTGCCTCTGTCTCGCCCAGGAGCCCGCGGGCTGGAGGCTGAGCTCCCCCCTCCTCCCCTCCCTCCTCCCCGGCAGGCGCGTGCAGAATGCCCACACGGGCCTTGACCTGGCCGTGCCACAGCACCAGGAGGTGCGGGGCAGGATGATGTCCGGCCATGTGGAGTACCAGATCCTGGTGGTCACCCGGCTGGCCGCCTTCAAGTCGGCCAAGCACAAGCCCGAGGACGTGGTCCAGTTCTTGGTGAGCGTGAGGCTCAGCCGGGGGCTCCCGAGGGCGCTCTGGCCTGGGGTGGCCGTGCGAACGTGCGCGAGGCTCCCACAGAGAAGGCGGGGACGCAGGCCCGGCGGCATGGAGGAGGCCGAGGGTGGGGTCGGGCAGGCGCAGAGCAGGTGACCCTCCTGTGAGGGCCATGTTGGGGGCTCTACAGATTGCGATGATGGCGCTGTCGGTGGGCCTACAGCAGCTCCCCCTCGAGGGAGCAGAGCCTTTGGGGGCGGGGACACCCCGGGAGGAAAGGGGCAGCCGGAGCGAGATCCAGCTGCGGGAGGGATTGGGGAGAGAGGCTGAGAGGAGGCCGCCATCCCTCGGACCCTGGCTCTGCGGGAAGCGGGGCGCTGCCCCAGGGTGACTCCGGCGGCAGGACGCCATCCGGGGGCCGGCACGAGCCCTGGCTGCTTCCCCGAGGTCCCGGGGTGCAGAGGGGTCCGGGCTGATGGCAGAGACACTGACGTGGCGGCCCCTGGCTCTCCGCCCCTGGAGGGCCGCAGCTGGCGCCCAGGAGAGCGGTCAGAGAGCCATGCTGGGAGCAGGGGCCCGTGGTGTCGCTTGAAGGTGACCTGTCGGCCAGCCAGACCTGAGGTCATCTCACGCAGGCACTGACGGCCTCTGGGCCAGCGGTCGGCAAACTCCTTCGTCCACAGAGCCAAATATCAACAGGACGACGACGGACGTTTCTTGGGAGAGCCAAGTTTCTTACATAAACTTCTTCTAAAGCCACTTTTTCAACCGAGACTCGCCCAGGCCGTGGTGTTTTGTGGAAGAGCCGCACTCCAGGGGCCAAAGAGCCGCACGTGGCTCGCGAGCCGCAGTTTGCCGACCACGGGGCTAGAGGGAAGCGGTGGCCATGTGCCCCTGCAGGCTGGGCTCCCTCTACCCACCGTCCCCGCCCGGGCCGCCATGACTGCCCGTGGCTGAGCCTGGAGTGATGAGGAGGGATAAGGACTGGACCGGAGCCCAGCAGCTGGGGGGGAGAAGGGGGGGAGAGAGGGGTGCCGTCAGGAAGGAGGCACAGCCAGGGGCTCTCCCTGGGACGGCTGCCCCCGGGGCCTCTGGTTGGGTCAGGGCAGGAGCCCACGTGCCCCTCCCGCTCCAGGTCTCCAAAAAGTACAGCGAGATCGAGGAGTTCTACCAGAGGCTGAGCGGCCGCTACCCGGCGGCCAGGCTGCCCCCGCTCCCCAGGAAGGTCCTGTTCGTCGGGGAGTCCGACATCCGGGAGCGGAGGGCCGTCTTCCACGAGATCCTGCGCTGCGTCTCCCAGGACGCCGAGCTGGCCGGCAGCCCGGAGCTGCTGGAGTTCTTAGGTGCCCGAGGGCCTGCTCGGGTCCCTGCGGGCCCTGTCCCCCACCCACCCTCCCTCAGGGCCTGCCCGGGTCCCTGCGGCCCCTGTCCCCCACCCACCCTCCCTCAGGGCCTGCCCGGGTCCCTGTGAGCCCCGGTCCCCCACCCACCCTCCCTCAGGGCCTGCCCGGGTCCCTGTGGGCCCCTGTCCCCCACCCACCCTCAGGTCCTGCCCGGGTCCCTGTGGGCCCCCCTGCACCCTATCCACCCACCCTCAGGTCCTGCCCGGTCCCTGTGGGCCCCCCTGCGCCCTATCCACCCACCCTCGGGGCCTGCCCAGGTCCCTGCGGCCCCCTATCCCCCACCCTCCCTCAGGTCCTGCCCGGGTCCCTGCGGCCCCGTGTCCCCCACCCACCCTCCCTCAGGTCCTGCCCGGGTCCCTGCGGCCCCCTATTCCCCACCCACCCTCCCTCAGGTCCTGCCCGGGTCGCTGTGGGTCCCTGCCCCCACCCACCCTCAGGGCCTGCCCCTCGGGTGTGGCGAGGCTCTGGTCCCTGGCAGTGGGGTCAGACCCCTCTTCCTGCTCCCCCGCAGGCACCAGCTCCGCGGGGGTGGCCGACCCCGGCAGCAGGGGTGTCTGTGCCCTGGACACGGGCAGCCCGGCCGGGGACGAGGGGGAGGCTCCCGACTTCTTCCAGCAGCAGGAAGGCGCCGAGGGGCCGCCCAGCCCTGGCCGCAAGGAGGACGCGGGGGAGTCCTCGGAAGAGGAGGAGGAGGCACTGGACCCCTTAGGCATCATGCGGTAGGTCTCCCCGATCCGGGGGGTGGGTCCAGGCTCTCTGGGGACGGCTCCTCCTGCCCCCCGTCTCCCTGGGCCGTCACGGGGGGCCTCACCCTGTACGGCCTGGTGCGCTGGGGAGCTGGCCGGCTGCTCCCCTCACATCACCGGTGTCTTGGGGGCTGGACTCGGGTATCCCTGCCCCTCCTCGGCTCTGCACGGAGGCCTGGCACAGCTGCCCCCAACCCCCTAGCAGCTCTGAAGCCCGTCCCCACCCACCATCCCAGAGGCCTGGCTTCTCTGTCCAGCTCATCCCTGGCCACCAAGGATGTGGGCATTGGTGACCCATGAGGTGCCAATCACGTGTGTGTGTGATTCAAGGGGGTACAGTGCGCCAGGGTCCCTGGCCAGTGGAGCGTGTCCCCTTTATGCATACATGTGCACACACATGTACACGCAAGCACGCATGAGCAGGTACGCGCACACATGCAGTGGCGGAGAGCAGCAGTGAGGGTGGCCGGGTTATGTCAGGAGAAATTCCTCGTAACCTTCCTCTCAGCCTCACGTGACCCGCACGGCCTGCTGGGGCTTTTTTTCGGTGACGTGGGACGGGGGCTGTGCTTGCACCGGCGTGCCCCGCTGCTCTGAGTTCCACACACAGTGCCGAGCTGAGACAGACGCGGGGGTTTGTGCCAGCCTAAGGGCATGCCCGCAAAGCGGCTCCTTTTGGGGGAAGGAAGAGGCTCTCTGGGACTGCGTGGCCGCCTGCGTTTCCTCTTTGCATCAGGAGCAGGTTGTCGGGCGATGTGCCCGCCTTCCCGGGACCACCTGTGCCCCAACCCCATCCCTAGCTCTGCGTGCCGGGGCCTCGCTGCTGAATCCGAGGAAAGCTTAGCATCCAAAGGGGTCCCCCCGGCCCCGGGCCTAATGTGACAACAGTCGGTGCTGTCACCACCTCAGGTGTTTTGTTTTTTGAGAGATTAGGAAATGCTGGGGACTGATCAGAATCGACGGGAATAAGTGTTTCCTATCCTATCCCTTTTTAAAACATTTTTTAAAGATGCACCAGTTGCTTTCAGGCCCGCGGCGGGTCTGGTTTGGGGAAAGGAGGCCGATGCCAGCATGGCCTCGTTTTGTGTCTGAGGAGGCGGAAGCTGGGTGGCCAGGTTCAGCCACAAACAGCAGAGTTGGGGCTCCTTGCCACCTCCCTGCATGCCCCTTGAGGCCACTCTCCCAGCGCCCCGAGGGCTGGGCCAGGCCCTCGGATCATCCCCTTTGCACCGAGGGGGGCGTGGAGGACAGCGTTGAGTGGGGACCTGCCCGGAGTCTTGTGCGTGGCAGCAGCACCTCGATGTCAGGTGTCCCCCCTGGCCGCTCCTGGGACACCCAGGCGGCCTGTGGACTTGCTTGCACAGTGCAGCCACCCTGTCCTTTGGGGGGGAGGGGCACTTGCTGTTCTTTACAGATGCCTTACGCTTTGCATGAGTATTTCTCCATCCTGTGCCCTCCGTTCCTCTGCCCCTGCAGCCCCTCGCCCACACCCCCAGGGCGCGCATGCAGATCCGCTCCCGCCTCTGTGTTCCCCGCCACAGCCACGCGAGGGCGCTGTTGCTCCGCTGCTGGAAGGCTGGGAGCCGCCTGCACAAAGCCAGGAGCTGGGACCAGCCGGCCTGGCTTTCCTTTGTCTGTGAGACCTGGTTTTGATCAGGGAAGAAGGAGCTCGCCACCCTTAGAAAGCGCCTCGAGGTAGAAAGAGCCCTTCCCGGCACTCTGCGCGCCCGCCTGGGGGGCTTGGGGCATCCCTGGCCCAGCGCGCCCACGCAGCCACGTGTGCCTTCCTAGGCGGTTTCTCCCCACTTGAGGGGCCTCTCAGGGCCGCGCTCCATGTCATGCATGGCTTGTGTGTTCAACTTTCTGTTTTGGAGACGGCACGGGTCCGAGGAGGATGGGGTTCTGCCAGAACCGCCCAGCCCACGCGGGGACGGTGCTGCTGGAAGCGTGTGTTGTTGTAACTTGCAGGAGATGTGGTTAGCATGCAAAATGGGACACACAGAAGCCCTTCGCCGGGAAGGTGTATGCTTCGGGGTGTCCCTGTTTTATTGCCGAAATGGGGTGTGTCCCGCGTGCCATTCCATCCTTTGCTTTTTCAGCTCACAGGCTCAGTTTTTGCAGGCGGGTCCGTGGGCTTCTGACCCGCCCAGGTGTGTGTGTGCGGGCGGCGTTGAGGGCCCAGGAAAGGCCTTGCCGTGAGGATGGGGCCTGGGCGGCTCTCCGCTCTCCCAGGAGCCAGGCAGGGCCCAGGCCTGGCACCGAGACCGAGACCTCATGGCCCTGGTCGCCCGTGACGTGAGCCCATATGGCTTGTGCCCAGAACGGAGAGAGAACGAGGAAGGGGTGCCTGGGCTTCCTGGCACAGCCCCCGCCAGTCTCTGCTCCCTCTCTACCTTCACAGCGGGCCCTGTGTCCCAAACAGCGGGATCCAGCCTGTGTCCCACCCTGTCCTGCATCTCATTCCTGCTCCCGGGACACTTTGAGGGGCAGTAGCAGGGGACCGTGACCACGTCCGGTTCTCGTCCGGGTCCCTGCCTGCTGTGCAGCTGTGAGCAGAGCCCTAGGCTCTCCAAATCCCCGTTCCTTCATCTGCCCAGGGAGCCTGACAGGGAGTGTGACCCTCCATCAAGTGCTCCAGGATGTATTGCTTTATTGGTTTCAGAGAGAAAGGGAGAGGGAGAGAGAGATAGAAACATCCGTGATGAGAGAGAATCGTCGATCATCTGCCTCCTACACGCCCCCTATTGGGGAATCTAGCCCACAACCCGGGCATGTGCCCTTGGCCGGAATCGAACCTGGGACCCTTCAGTCCGCAGGCCGATGCTCTATCCACTGAGCCAGACCGGTTAGGGCCCCCCTGCTACTGTTAACGGCCGCTGGTTCATCTTCCCATCGTCTGGGGGCAGAACCAGCCTGCCCACGCCGTGTCGCCACGCAGTGATGCCAGAGGGAGCTGGGGCGGTGACCTCTGTCCAGGGAGCTGCCCGCCAGGCAGGCAGCCGAACCAGAAATCCCGTTTCCAGTAAGAAGCTTGGTCTCGTTCTCAGGAACCTTCTCACGGCTCATGCAGACACAAGGGGGAAGGATTAGGTCATGTCAAACTAAAGGCTACCTTATTTGTGTGCTGGCAGCGTAACCGACAGTGACGTGAGCAGAACTGTGCGCTCAGTCCCCGGGCGTGTGCCCAGGGATGCCTAACCGCCGCCCGGCCAGGACAGAGCACCCCTCGGCCAGAGCATCCCCTGACCCCCCTCCTGGTTCCCACAGCAGCTTCCGGCCCAGAGCAGGACCCCTTAGGGGTGTCGGAGCCTCGTGGGGCTCTGAGGAGCGGGAGGGCTTCTGAAGGAGGTGGGGATGGATTGCTCAGGGGGACAGAGGTGAGTGGGGCTCTCTCCTGCATATTCGGAGACCAGCACCCAATAATGGAGGAGTTTGCAATGATGCCCTCTGGTGGGCACTCTGAGTGCAGCACCCTAGGTTGGAGTTGGTGCCACTCCAGGGATGGGGAGGAGGTGTCTGGGACATGGAACATTTCCTAGGGCTCCTTCATTTTCTCTCCCGGTTCTCATCGGGTCCCTGGCTGCTGGGCTCTGAGGTTTGTGGCCTCGGACTTTGTTTCCAAGTGGCGTGGAGTGACTGAGTTTCACCCCAGGGAGCGCTGGGGTCAGCCACCCCCACAGCCTCTCACAATCCAGGACTGCTGGCTCCCAACTGCTCGCCTGCCTGCCTGCCTGCCTGCCCGCCCGCCCCATTGCCCCTAACCACTTCTGTCTACCAGCCTGATCACCCCCTAATCACTCCCCTGTCTGCCTGATTGATGCCTAACTGCTCCCCTGCTGGCCCGATTGCCTCTAACTGCCCTTCCCTGCTGGCCTGGTCTCCCCCAACTGTCCTCCCCTGCAGGCCTGAGGCCTGAGGTCCCCCCCCCCCCCACTGCGGGTTGTCTGGCCACCGGCCACGTAGCCCAGGCACCCTCCTTCTCCTCCTGGCAGTGTTCCCTGGGCGCGGCCCCTCCTGGTATCAGGGTCTCCCCACCTCTGCTGTCAGGCCCTCGGAAAGGTCCTTCAGGATGCATGCTCAAACCCACCCGTAGCTTGCGTGGCTCTGACGTGGCCACCGGGCTGACGGCGGGGCCGTCCTCGGATGCCTAACCTTGAGCCGATCTGGATTCTCCAGCTCCAAGAAGCCGAAAGCGCGCCCCGAGGCAGCTGCGAAGCCCAGGCCCTCGGCCCGGCTCACCCTCTTCGACGAGGCGGCGGACCACGAGGCGGGGCTCCTCGGCCCCCGCAGGCCGCGCTCCGCCGGCGGCCCCGCAGAGCACGCGCCCGCCCGGGACCGTGAGTGGAGCCCAGGGCGGCCCGGCCCCGGGCGCCCCTCCCCCGGCCCCGTGACCTGCCCCTGGGAACAGGGCTCTCGGCTCGCTCAGGTGTTCTGCGGGAGAAGCTGGGCTCAGGCCCGGGTTCTCACGACTGGACATTCCGGGCAGGGGCGTGTGTGTGTGTGTGTGTGTGTGTGTGAGTGTGTGTGTGAGAGAGTGTGTGTGAGTGTGTGTGAGAGTGTGTATGTGTGTGTGAGTGAGTGTGTGTGAGTGTGTGTGAGAGTGTGTGTGAGAGAGTGTGTGTGTGTGAGAGAGTGTGAGAGTGTGTGTGAGTGTGTGTGTGAGAGTGTGTGAGAGTGTGTGTGTGAGTGTGAGTGTGTGTGTGTGTGTGTGAGTGTGTGTATGTGTGCGTGTGTGTGAGTGTGTGTGTGTGTGTGTGTGAGTGTGTGTGTGAGTGGGTGTGTGTGTGTGTGTGAGAGTGTGTGTGTGAGTGTGAGTGTGTGTGTGTGTGTGTGAGTGTGTGTATGTGTGTGTGTGTGTGAGTGTGTGTGTGTGTGTGTGTGAGTGTGTGTGTGAGTGGGTGGGTGTGTGTGTGAGAGTGTGTGTGTGTGTGAGTGTGTGTGTGTGTGTGTGAGTGTGTGTGTGTGTGTGTGTGTGTGAGTGTGTGTATGTGTGTGAGTGTGTGTGTGTGTGTTCTGCTCACCCCTTGTAGGGGGGTCCCCTTTCTCTGTTGCTTTGAGAAGTGTGGATTGGGATTGTCTCCCAACAATCACAGGAGAGCCTGAGTGTGTAACAGCAGGGAGGGCTTCCTGTAGGAGGGGGCTCTGCCCGAGCCGGATCCCCGACGGTCAGCGGCACTTTCCTGGCCTGCTGGGGAAGGAGGGCTCTTCCGGGCGGAGAGGAGGGGGTGCCCCAGGCCCCTCAGAGGCAGGGCTGTGGCCGGAGTGGTGTCAGCTCAGCCCTGCCTCCCCTCAGGCAGCAGCCTTTGGCCTGTGGTTGGTGCTCAGGAAGCACTTGGGAAACGGGGGTGCAGCCAGGGCTTTTTCCTCCAGGAAGTCCACCTGGACTTGACCTGAGGGGGGCCGCCCGCGGACGGGGGGGTGGGAGGTGGCGCCTGTCTGTCACACAGGTGGGCTGGTACCTGGCCCGTGTGCCCTGGCCCTGTTCCCCTGGTCCTGTGCCTCGTCCCTGGCTGGGCCCCCCTCCCTCAACCCCCCTTCCCCGCCCCCTGTGCACGGGGATGGGCCGGACCCCTCTGACCGCTCTGCTGCTCCCTTCTCCTCCGCAGCCCTGACGCTGTTTGATGACCCTGACCTCGGCGGGGCCGTCCCCCTGGGGGACCCCTTGCTGCTGCCGGCGGCCCCTGGGAGCGGAGAGGCCTCCGTGGAGCTGTTCAGGTACCCGTCCCTGCGCGCCACCCCCCCCCCCCGCTCTGAGCGTGGCCCCCGAGCGCCCCCCGCTCTGAGCGTGGCCCCTGAGCGCCCCCTGCTCTGAGTGTGGCCCTGAGCTCTCCCTGCTGAGCGTGGCCCCCGCGCGCCCCCCGCTCTGAGCGTGGCCCCCGAGCGCCCCCCGCTCTGAGCGTGGCCCCCGAGCGCCCCCCGCTCTGAGCGTGGCCTCCGAGCGCCCCCCGCTCTGAGCGTGGCCCGGCAGAGCCACAGGCCTGCCCATCGTGGTGCGTCCACCAGCCTCGGTCTCAGAGCGGGGAGGGGTCCTGGCCTGGAAGGCAGGCGCTGGCGGGTGGCAGCCAGCCCCTGGCAGCGATGGGGGCCGGGGGAGAGTAGGCAGGCCCTGCAGCTCGGCGGGTTACGGGAAGGTAACAAATAAAACAGCTCGGGAACAAATAAAACGGGCCCTTGGCAGCTGCAGCTCCCGGGAGGGAGGCCGTGCCCAGCGGGGGCCCCGCAGGAGGGCTGATGGGGGAGGCCGGCAGGTGTGGCAGACCCTGTGCTCATGGAGAGCCTCCGGGCCCCCTGGGTGCTGGGCTCTTTGCACCTGACCTCGGTCCTCCCCGTTGCCCCGGCTCGGCGCTGCTACCTCCGCTGTGTAGGAGATGGAGAGAGGGAGGGGTCCGAGGGCACTGGCACCCGGTCCCCCTGCCCCGGTCCCGTCCTCCCTCGCTCGGGCGCTGCTCCGCCCAGCGCACTCCCGGCCGAGACACAGCGTGCAGTTGCCCCCGGGGCGCAGGGCCCTGTCTGAGCAGAATTCCCTCCCCAAAGCTGCTCCTGGGCCCCTGACTCCAGCAGAGGCTGCAGGAGCCGCACCTGCCGCAGGGCTGCCCGGAAGGGGCTGTCTGAGGGGCGTGGGCACCTCTGAGCCTCAGTCCCTGAGCAGCTCCTGGAGCCCCAGGGGGTGGGTGGGTGGGTGATGGGTGGACTGAGTGGGTCCCCCATCCTGCACCTAGTCTCCGGGCACTGAGCCCCTCCACCAGCAAAGAGGACGAGGCCGGACGTGGCCCTGACTCCTAACCTCCGTACCTGTGATTGGGCCTGTGTGCCCGTCACATGGCTGTGGCCTCCGGTACCCCCCCATCCCCCACCCCCCCCACTTCCATGGGCTGGGAGGTCCAGGGCCGAGGTGGCGTCTTGTGGGGGGGGGCCCTGGCTGGGGTGGCTCCAGCTCTGGGTGGGCTCTGCCCAGCGCCTGTGTGGCCCCCTGAGGGGCACTGTGGGGCGAGGGGTGGGGGCAGACCTCCCTGAGGGCAGGAGCCTGTGTACGGCTCACTTCAGGGGCCAAGCTCAGCTGGAGGAGGAGCAGAGGCCGAGGGGCCCTCACTGTCATGGGGGGGGGGGCGGCGGGGAGGGGGTCTGCCCGCCCCAGTGGCTCCCGCCCCCGGACGCTGTGCTCAGGGCGTGTCCCTCTGGTTCCCTAGACTCGAAGAGGACTTGGACCAGATCCTGAACCTGGGGGCCGAGCCCAAGCCCCAGCCCCCGCCCAAGCCCAAACCGCCCGTGGCGGCCAAGCCAGCAGCGCCCCGAAAGCTGGCGGCTCCCCCGAGAGCCGGCCCGTCGGAGGCCGCGGCCGGGCCCCCGCCGCCGCAGATCCACGCCATGGACGAGATGGACATCCTGCAGTACATCCGGGACCACGACGCGCCGGGCCAGGCCGCCCCCAGCCTCTTCTGACCTCCCTGCCCCGTGCTGGCCCCCGTGGGGGCCGTGGCAAGGGGTGGGGGCTGTGCCTCGCGGGCCGGATCTCTGGTGCCGGGCGGGGGAGTCGAAGTCACAGGACCCCGTCCTACCTTGTGCCTTTGTCTCTGGCCTGTGAGGCCACGGCCCCCTGCGGGGTACGGAGAGAGGGTCCCCAGAGGAGCTGAGCCCAGCTCTCTCGGCCACAGCCTGGGGAGGGGGACCAGGTGGGGATACTGGCTACCCCGGAGCCTGGCCCCAGGAAGGACTGGGATGGGGAGCCTGGGCCTGTGGCTCCTGGGCCTGTGGCTCCTGGGCCTGTGGCTCCGGGAGGGTCCCCCAGGAGAGGGGTGTGGAGCGGGTGCCTGGGGGAGCCTGGCAGGGTGCTTTCCTGGGTCCAGGGTAGAGCAACCAGGCCAGCCCTCCTGGGGTGTGGATAGCCCAGCAGGCCCAGGTCTCCTCTCTCCCTGTCCCAGGGAGACCCGGCCAGGAAGACCCTGGCCCCTGGGGCCTCTGGCCTTCAAGCCGGTGCCACCCGCAGCCCTGAGCTGTGGTCCCCGAGCCCGGTGGGGCTTGGCAGGGCCAGTGCCTTAGTGTCCGCCCCCCCCCCCCCAGCCCTTCGCCGGCACGGCCGGGGCCTGGTGTGATGCTCAGGAACCCTCCGTGAGTGAATGACGTCTCATGAGCCACGCATGCCTTTCCACGGTGGCGTCCTCACGGGCAGGCCCAGGCCCCTGAGACACAGGGCTTTGTGGAATGCAACCACTCTTGTCCCGTGGCTCGTCCTGCCCGGCGGAGGCTTGGGAAGCGGGGTGAGACCAGGACCCCAGACTTTTCCTGTCTGGGGCCAGCAGACAACACTGAGGGAGGCCCCCCTGCCAGAGCGGGGGCTGGCTGCTGCTAGAGCCTTAGTTCCCTGTCCCTGCCCTGCGCCGGGGCCCAGGGTGGTGGGAGCACTGGTCTGCCCTGTCATGCGTCTCTCTCTCTCTCCCCCGTCCGTCCTGGACAGGCCGTCCCTGCTCTCCCCCTGCACCAGAGTGAGAGGATATGGGCAGGGCAGGGCAGGGGCTGGGAGCTGAACTCCTCTGCCTCACCCAGCTCCCAGGGCCCGACTCCTGGCCCTGAGCGGTTCTGGGACAGCCTCAGCCCCGCGTGCCACGCCCGTTCACTGCTGGCCTCCCCGCCTCACCCGGCCTGCCCACTTCCCTGCTGAAGGAGGGGGGTGGGGAGTGGGCCAGTTCTGCCTGGGCTCTCACCTGCCCAGTTCTCAACTCTGCACCCCACACCAGCGCCCTGCCCCTCCCTGTCTGACATGTGACATGGGAGCAGAGAGCACTGTGCCAGGCTGGCCCTCTGGGGGGTCACAGACAGAACCCGCCACCAGCTGTGCGTCCCTCCACCGCGGCCGGCCTCCTGGGCGCCCCGGTGCTCGCCAGGCATCTCTGTGGACCTGCCGGCGAGCCCGCGGCTCTGGTCCTGCAATAAAGCCCATCGTGACTCCTGCCAGCACTTGTCGGGCGCTCTTTTCTGCGCCGGGGACGATGGGGGACAGGGCACGGGGTCTCTGCCAGTGAGCTCACCGAGAGGAGCTGCTCCATAGGACTCCGTGAACGGAGGTTTGCAGAGGATGCCCATTTCCCCTTCTCAAACCCTGTGCGTGATTACCTGTATCCTCTCATAATTCTGTAAACTTCCCATCGTCATGATCAGTCTCCTCTTCCTTTCTCAGGGGTTTTGTCTATTTTTTTTTCTTTTTTTTTTAATGGGTTATATTTGTCAGAAATATCTTCCTCTTTTCAGAGATCCAGTTTTGGGTTTTGGAGGTCTAGTTCACTTTTTCCCCCATCTCATGAATTCGTTTCTATTTTTAATTTTCCTATCCATTTCTCCTTTTCATGTTTAAAAATATATATTATTATTATTATTATTAATCTTGTACAGAGAGGAAGGGAGAGGGATAGAGTTAGAAACATGGATGAGAGAGAAACATCAATCAGCTGCCTCCTACACACCCCCTACTGGTGATGTGCCCGCAACCAGGGTTCATGCCCTTGACCGGAATCGAACCTGGGATCCTTGAGTCCGTAGGACGATGCTCTATGCACTGAGTCAAACCGGTTAGGGCTCCATTTTCGTTTTTAAGGTGTTTTGTTTGTTTATTTGTTTTGTTTTTCCTTTAGAATGACATCAGTTTTTATTTATTTTTCTCTCTGTGGTTGATTGTATCAACGCATCAAAGGCTCCAGAATTTCGTCTCGCACCGTTCTGGCCGCCTCTCGTCGATGTTATCGCGAGGTGACCTCATTCTCCCTCATCCTCACGAAGCCTGAGTCTGCCGCCTTGGCTTCCTGTTGACAGCCGAACACCCGTTGTGCACGCCAGTCTTGTCGGCCTGTTTGTGCTTCTGTTTCCAAGGTTTCGTCCCCGTTATTCTCGTCATCCTTTATCACTTATTTTCAGTCGTAGGGTCTGAGGATGGGAACCTGTGACTTCTGCTCTCTACCACTTAAAAGTCTTTCCCCACGGAGCTTGTAAGTGCTTACCTGGTCTTTGCAAATGTCTGTTATGGTGGCAGGATATCTGGAATGGTTGCCTACATGTTTCTCTGAGTTCTGTATTCGCACTGGGGTCCCCTGCCCTGTCCCTCCTGGGGGGAGACGGTAGGTGAAGGCCTGTGCCGTCCCCCCAGCTGTCAGCAGGTGTTGGGTTTGGACGCGGGTCCCCACTGGCCTCTGGCTTGGTCGCAGAGAGGTGCCCGCGGGCTCCCAGGAGGATGTGACCTCCCGTTGGCTTGCGGCCCTGGGCTCGTCTGGCGGCTGTCTCTGGATTCATGCTCCAAGCCCATGTTTCTGTGGCTCAGGTCATTGCCCTCCTTGACATGCCGGGTCCCCTGGGCATGGGCATCCAGGTGGGCACGTGCAGGATTCCCCTCCTGCTCAGAGGGAAGGCGGCAAAGAGGCCCTGCCCACTCAGGGGTTTCTATGCCTCGTCAGCAGCCCCACCGGCCCCGGGAGCAGGGGCCCTGCAGCACCTGTGTCTCCTGGATGGCCCTCCGTCCTCTCTGTGCTCCTGCCAGTCAGCCTGCAGAACGGGCGGCTGGCTTTTCTCCTGGCCACGCAGCCCCACACACAGCTCTTCTCCGAGAACCGGACCCCTCGGGCTCCTGAAAACCAGCTGCTTTCCAAACCCTCCGCGTTTCTGAGGTCTATCCCGCGCCTTTATGCTCAGGACCCAGGGAGAGGGCCAGGGAGGAGAGAGAGGTGCCGCCTGCCGCGTGGGGACCACATGACAGACATGGGATGCCTCCACGAGCCCTTGGATGGGGAGCTCACTGGGGTTCAGTGGGCGTGACGGGGACAAGCCCAGCAGGGAAGGTGGCCTCCCTGCCAGGCCAAGGGGTCCCAGAGCCACTGGATGATGGGGAGCGGGGTGGGGTGGGGCAGATGGAAGGCCCGAGGTGAGTGAAGCGAGGGGGCAGCCCATTGCCACAGCTGATGTTGAAATCCTGGCGAGAGGCTGACAGGAAGGCAGCCTCCCAGGTTTAAGGAGCCCTTGTATGTGCGTGCGTGTGTGTGTGTGTGTGTGTGTGTGTGTGTGTGTTTGCGTGTTTCCCGGGAATGATATGAGCTGGGGCTTGTCTTTCTTGGCTGCCGCTGCCCTGGAGACAAGCTCTCCCTGGTCTGGCAGGAAGTGCCGAAGCTACTGCCAAGACATCTGTTTCATTTTCCTTGGCAACGAAAGGCGTCCTGAGAGAGACCCGGGGCTTAGCGTCGGGAACATCCATAATTCTCCTTTCCTCGCTTGGGAGTTCAAACGGAAGCTCCCAAGCTCAAGTTTAGAAGGGGTCACCCGGAGGAGCTGGGCTGTGAGGAATTCAGAATGTGGGGGAGGGAAAGGGGGGCGGGGGGACTGGAGGACGGGCGTCCGCCAGGAGGGGGGCCTGAGAATGTCCTGAGCGTCAGAGCCCGGAGCAGAGTCCGCTTGGGGGTGGGGTGCCCTGCTTGGCCTCTGAAATGGAGATGTTGGGGGCCGCCCCACAGCCTCCCGGCCTCTCGTTCATGTCTGTCTTTTCCATGGTAGCCATCCGCATGACTGAAGTGGCCTCTCACTGTGGTTTTGATTTGCATCTCCCTGATGACTACTGATACTGAGCTTATTTGCTAGTTCTTCGTAGCCATTCATATGTCTTCTTTGGAGAAATGTCTATTTAGATCAGTGGTTCCCAACGTGGAAGGCAATTTGATTTTTAAAGGGGGCAATTTGAGAATGAGTTATTAACAGTGAATTTTTTTTTCATTTCTTATGGTTCTAGGGGCCTCATATACAGTATATAAGTATATATCGTGACATATTTATACATTTCAGTTCCCTATTATGTTTTGAGACTTTGGTATTTTTTCATCTCACTTCATATTATTATTACTAGAGGCCTGGTGCATGAATTCGTGCATGGGTGGGATCTGGCTGGCCCACACCTATGGGGCCCATTGGGCCAGGATGGTGGCAAGGAGGGGCTGTGGGCGGTTAGCCATCTGGCCCGCCCCTGATGGGGGTGGGAGGACCGATCGGGGGCAGGGCCAGATCGGGGGAGGATCCATGGATGGTTGGCTGGCCAGGGGGAGGATCACACGTAGTTGGCTGGCCAGCCCCACTCTCGATCAAGTGTTGGGGGTCAATCAGGGGCAGGACCAGCTAGGGGAGGGGCTGTGGGCAGTTGGCCAGCCAGCCCAGCCCCTGACTGGGGTATTGGGAGCCAATCAGGGCCAGGGACGGCCAGTGGTGGGAGGTTCGATCAGGGCCTGGATCACGCTGATTGGCTGCCACAGTCATTCTGATGGTTCACTGTGCTGGTCATTGGGCTTTTATATATATAGATTATTTTTAACGATTTCTTAGTGATTTCTTCCTCAGTATTTCCACTGCCCTTTCGTTCTTCTATATTTCTCTTTCCTAGATGCCATGTTCTTTGGAAGCATGTTTAGACCAAGTTAGTGGCC